CTGGCTCTGTTCCACACCAGCCAGGATCACTGGGGCTCTGCGAGGAATTGGGGTTCACAGCCAGGAGACAGCCAGGAGCCAATGTTCTAGACGGGGATGCACAGCCCTGTAGCCCAGCACAGACCCCGATCCCTCCTTGTCCTTATCAGAGGCTGCTGTGGGCTGCTCCGCGCTGCCAGTCCCAGCCCTGCCGGTGGCCTTTACCCGTCGTGTTCTGAGGCTTGGCGCTGCCCATCCCCGGGGCTCGGTGCTGCACACCGAGGCTCGCTGCTGCCCGTCCGTGTCCTCGGTGCCCCGTGCCTGGTACCCGTACCCGGTACCTGGTACCCGGTACCCGGTACTCTGTACCCCAGTGCTCGATGCCCGGTTCCCGGTGCTTGGTATCCCGTGGTCTGTGTCTGATACTCGGTGCCCGGTGCCTAATGCTCGGTGCTCTGTGCCTGGTGCTTGTTGCCCAGTGCCCGGTGCCCGGTACCCGATACCTTGTACTTGGACCCCGTGCTCGCTGCTTGGCGGTCGATATCCGGTGCTCGGTACCCCGTGCCCGGTGCTTGGCGCCCGATATGTGGTGCCCGGTGCCCCGTGCTCCACATCCAGTGCCCGATATCCGGTGCCCGGGGCTCACTGTGGCGCCGGGGGCGGTGCAGTGCCACCCCCTGGCCGGCAGGGGCCGCTGTGCGCGGGCCGAGCGTCGCGCGTCGCCCCAGGTGTTTCCGGCCGGGCTGGTTTGGCGGCGCACGCGGGGCGGTGCGGGGCAGCCCGGCGGGGTTTGGGCGCTGCACCGCGGCAAGATGGCGGACAGGGAGGAGGCGCTGAGGGAGTTCGTGGCCGTGACCGGCGCCGAGGAGGAGCGAGCGCGGTTCTTCCTCGAGTCCGCCGGCTGGGACCTACAGGTACCTTTTCCGCTGCCCTCCGCCCTCCCCGGCCGGATGCGGGGTTCGGTGGGGCCGCGGCTCAGGAGGCCGTGGCGCTGCCGGGGGACAGCGCTGGGCCGGAGGTCGGTGTCCCGCAGGCTCAGGCCTCGCCCCGTCCGTCCCCGGGCTCAGCCTCTGCGGCGGGGCCGTGGGCTGGCTGAGACTGAGGCCCCTCCTGGTTCTGTCGTTCCCTTCGTAGCGCGAGGTCAGGGACAGTGGCGCGGGGTTTGCCGGGGTTATGTAGCTTTTCCTGGAATGCTGGTGATGTTGTCAGTGCTGTGCTGTTGCCACTGTCAGCAAACAAACTGAGTGGGAGTCAGCCACCACTCTGACCTGCTCCTGTCCCTGCTTCTCAAACTCACTGTGTTAAATTCCAAGTCTGCTCATGGATGGCACAAAAGCTGCTGTTTCAGAGCAGTAATTTTGGCATAACTCCTGTATAAGTGCTGCAGAAGAAGGGCCCTGACCTTCCCTCACAGGGAGGGTGACATCCCTGCAGCAGTGAGTGTTCTGCCATGACACAGCCAAATGGCACAGCCTGCTGAGGCCTCGTCTTTGCCAGGACCTGCAACAGGGGAAATGACATGAAGTGTCTTTAGTGTGAGCTGCCTTAGGAGGTCCAACATGACAGATGCTTCAGCTGAGCTGTTTGTACGTGTTTTTCCTGAGGAGCTTTGGTGGTTGGTTTTCCTTTCCAGATTGCACTCGCCAGTTTCTATGAGGACGGGGGTGATGAAGACATCCTGACCCTTCCCCAGCCCACACCCAGCTCCATATCCAGAGGCACTGGAGCCAGGTGAGGAAGGAGCTTCAGCTCCATGCTGGAAAGCTGAAAAAACTCCCACCCTCTAAAGCACTGATTGTGTTCATTTTCAGGGGAACTAGTTCTGTGTTTAAGTTTGCTTCACCTTGTTTGGCTCTCTAGAAATTGTGAAAACTTGAGCGTTTGTACATCACAAGCATGGGTGTTATTGCACAACTAAGCTAGAGATCAGTTAGGAAAACTTGCCTCATTGCTCAGGAAAAACTTGATTTGTCTTTTGACATTAAAAACAGTCTGGTGGTGACCTTTCGTTTAAGCAGATCATATCTCTGCAGGAAGAGTATTTTCTCATTTTGTGGGACAGCTGAGCTGATGTAGCCAAGCATCTTACAAAACAAAAAAGCAAATTTTACCTTACTAAATCCCTTTGAAGTAGGGGAATGCTGTCCAGTTTGAAAGAGGAGTTGCTGCCTTTGTCATGAAGGAAAAGTACTCTTGGGTCAGGTGTTGATGAGCAGAGCCCACCTTGCAGAAGGAGCCTGTTGAAGTGTGAAATGTTCCAGCTGGGAATGTGTCTCGAGGCTGACACCCTTCTTGCTGGATTTTTGCAGTGACCATCGAGTAACCTCGTTCAGAGACCTTGTGCATGCACAGGAGGAGGATGATGAAGAGGAGGAGGGACAGCGGTAAGTTTGCAGCTGAAGGCTCAAATGCTGGGTGTTTATCCCTTTCCTTTTGGAAGGGCCTGGTGCTTGTGTACAGCTTCTTTGACAAAAAGGGTTTATATGGATATGAAGTTCCTGTAATGAAGCATTTGAGGTTTGACAGGGCAGGTTTGTCAGTGCAAAGCCTGTGCACAAGCACGTGCTCAGCTGTGTAAGCACCAGCTCTCAGCACTGAGAGAAAGCCTAAAGTGGAATGTGGAAGTCGTGGGTTACGAATAGAAAACAGCCCGGATCCTCATTTGTGTCCATAGGGAACGGAAATGTGGGAATTATGCAGGAATTGGTTTTCTTACTGCTTGGGGTTTTGGGAGTTTATTTTGGTTGGGTTTTTGGGTTCTTCTCTTTTTTTTAAGTGTTGCTTAAGGTAAAGTAATGGAGTGTGGGGTCAGAAATAAAACCCTAGGGCCCCTTTCCAGGAGGAACATGGAGTATTAGTAGGACAATCTCCTACAATATCAGCTCTAAGTAGTTAAATACCCTTAAGGTTGACAGGCAAGGTAAATGGAATGGAACTGATGTATCTGAAGGGGTGGCTCAGCCTGGATGGGCCGTGGTCTGCAGGCAGCTGGGAGCCCGCTCTGTGTGTTACAAGCCATCTGGAAGCTAATAAACCCAATCTTCCAGAAGTGCTTAATTGCACTTCACTGGCTGTGCATCCATTGCTTCCAGTTGAGATCAGTCCTTTGTGTAGTATGAACGTGTGCCTTCCCTCAGAATTCCAGCTGGATGTTGCTCTGCCAGGTCAGAGATTTGCTGGAAGTCTTGTTCAGCTGGGTAATCGAGCTGGTATCGGTGTTTAAAACTGGGCTTGTCCCTCTGGGCTGTTCTCTTCCCAGGCTGGAGCATTGTTACCACTTCATTGCTATCGATCCACAGGTAATTTACAGTAATGGACATAAAAAGAAAGTCTTTGCAGCACAGGAGCTTGCACGTGGCTGCAGTGGGAGATACACTGGTGATAACCAGTGTTTGTAGATCCAAGGGGTTTCACTGAGCTGCACAAGCATGAAGAACTGAGTCCTGATCCAAGTGCTTTCTCTTAGGTTTTATGCTGGTGGCTCAGAGAGAAGTGGCCAGCAGATCGTGGGTCCTCCGAGGAAGAAGAGTCCCAACGAGCTGGTGGAGGATCTGTTCAAGGGAGCCAAGGAACACGGCGCAGTGGCGGTCGATCGGACGGCCAAGAGCAGTGGCGAGACGAGCAAGCCAAAGGTGAAGAGGGAGTAGTTCTTCCTTCTGTTCCTCGTTTCAGTAAAGGTTCCACTGTGCCAGCTGTTCAGTACTGAGGAGTCCTGGAATTATCTCGGCAGCTAAGTCTGGACTCCTCTCTTAGTGCAGCTCCATTTTGTGTGTCACAGTGGCAAGAAAAGCCTCTATTTTGTGCCACACTTACTAATTTGCTGAAGCTGGCACTGCTTGCAGGGCAGGAGATGTTGCTGATGCCATGAAGCCCCTGTTCACCCACAGGATTGGGGACAAGGAAGCAGCTCTTTGGGTCTGCGTGGTTCTGTAACCCTGTGCCTGCCTTTCTCTCACAGCCTTTTGCAGGGGGAGGATATCGCCTTGGGGCTACTCCAGAGGAGGAGTCGGCTTATGTGGCAGGAGAGAGGAGACAGAACTCTTCTCAGGATGTGAGTATCTCTGCTCAGGTTTGTAGCTGTCACTCCAGGGCTATCTCTGCTCCAGCTACTGAGCTTGCCAGCCCCGAGAGTTACAAAGCTTGATAGAAATTCACAAGGACAGAAATATAGTAAATCCTCCTTCCTGTGGGATTTCCAAGTAGAAAATAATAGATGATTAGGTCTTGGGTAAGCAGTTTTCTGGTGATTTTTAAATTAAGAATCTGAGCCTTTCTTAGAAGTGCAGATTGGAAAAAATAGTGTGGAAAGAGCATTAGGAAATAACTCTTCTTTATCTATTATATATATCCGATATATATCCATAGATGGGAGCTGACAGCATCAGTTCAAGATTCCCTTGTGCTTGGTTTGTGACCAAACCAGGTCATGACTATGGTGGGAGCCTGGTTTAGGCTCCTTGCCCAGCAGATTCCTGGCTCTTCAGCCATATTTATCCAAAAGGGGACCACGGTGCCACCTTCTAGGAATTGACACCTGACCATTGCATAAAAGCCAGTGCTTTGGGTTTTTCCCTTAGCTCAGAGAAACCTGCTGGAATGTTTCTGCACCTTGAAGATCCTCTGCCCATCTGGAACTTTTCACTTTGCCTCAGTTTCTGTTGTCACCAAGATGCTCAGTGAGGCTGATTGTTCTTTTGGGACTGCTGCAGGTGCACGTTGTACTGAAGCTCTGGAAGAGTGGATTTAGTCTGGATAGTGGAGAGCTGAGGAGCTACCAGGATCCGTCCAATGCCCAGTTCCTCGATGATATCCGCAGAGGGTACGTAGTGAGGGGAGAAAAGGGACAGCTGTTTTCTGAAACGTGTGTTTGTGGAATCAGGCTTCTGGATCCATGGCATATTTCACCTGAGCTTTCTTGAAAGAAATTAATTACTCTTAATGTGGAATATTTGGTTCAGGTAAACAGGGAGTGGGTTTGGTTTATGTGGGGCCTTGAGAGTTTGAAGTAAACAAACATGTTCATATTTGTGTTGAGAATTTCTGATGCATTGTGTCACTGCAGGTGAGGGCCAGGGAGAAATAACCTTTAATTTGTGTCTGTCACTGCATCTGCCCTGTCAGTTAAGCAAAGGCTTTCTGAAATTCCTGAAATTCCAGAGATCTTGATCTTTTTGTCCTCGAATTCCTGCCTTGCTGCCTCAGACAGCTGTCTTAGAACACTTTCTTTGCAGAGAAGTCCCAGCTGAACTGCGCAGGTTAGCACGGGGTGGACAGGTGAACCTGGACATGGAAGATCACCGTGATGAGGAGTATGTGAAACCTAAAAGTGTCTTCAGAGCTTTTACTGGAGAAGGACAGAAGCTGGGCAGGTGAGAAGATGATGACACTGGTTTTACTACATGTAATATGAGGGAGTCACTCGATCCTTGCAAGGTGGAGCTTTCTGATTCATCCTTCTGAAAGAAAGGCACTGGGTGCCTGTGGGATGGGAGGTGTTCCTCTAAGGAAACAAGGCTCACTGATGTATACTGTGAGGTGGCCCAGCCTCCCCTGCCAGGAGCCAGATCCCTGGTTTGGAACCTCCATGTTGTGTTGCATTGAAGCAGTGTTTCCAAGTCACACTTTCCCCTGTTAACTTGTGCATATGAGGACCCATGGCAATGAAGGGGATGGTAGAGTTTAACTTCTAGACAAATTTCCTGCTGACTGGCTGACTCAAAAATTCTGACTTCCAGCTTGCTTATGGAGGAGCACTGGTAGTTGGCAGGCAGTGAGCTCGCTGCCTGATCTGGTACCCTGCAGCCAGGTGAGTTTGGTTTCTAACAACTCACTTGCGTCTCCCTGTTGGCAGCACCGCACCCCAGGTGATGGGCACCAGCTCACCAGCCCAGCAGGCAGAGAACGAAGCCAAAGCCAGTTCTGCCATCGTGATCAATGAGTCTGAGCCCATCACCAACATCCAGATCCGGCTTGCTGACGGCGGGCGCCTGGTCCAGAAGTTCAACCACAGTCACAGGTACGAGTGCAACAAGGAACACAGGCAAGGCATAAATGGCCCTGCAAGACAGGGCACTGGTGGAGCAAGTGTTAAAATCCTGGATAGCCTGCCAAAAGAAGCTCTGAGCATCCTTCTATACAAGTGAAAGAGAATTAAATTGTTGTGGTGTTTTTAACACAGTTGCTAACTGTTGGATAGGATTTGCTTTCCAAATTGGGATAATTTATAGCCAGTGACCTGACACCTGGGGGTGTAAGTGTTATCAGCAGAACTTTCCTTGATGTGACCTTTAAAAAACTGAATCTCTTCTAAAGGCTTTGGAAACTGGCAGATAATTAGGAACATGGATCAGTTACTCTGACTCAATTTAGACATTTCTATGAGGCTGTTCCCTGTGCTGAATGGAGCACCAAGGGATGCTCTCACCACAATTCTGTTCCTTTCGGCTCTCACCACAATTCTGTTCCTTTCGGCAAGCTTAGATATGCCAGCTGCTTCATTCGAAATCTCTTGAAATCCTTCTCACCTTCCTGATCTCATAATTTATACTCATTCCTCCAGTTTCTATAAAGGTCAGGCTCAGGGCAAAAAGTTACAAAAATCTCTGCCTGTGACTGAGTTCAGGAAATGGATCCTATGTCACTGTGTGGCTGCTCACAGGAGCTGAAATCCTCTGAGTTCTGCTGTGTGTGACGAACTCAGAAAGTGTCAGTTTGTTAATTGTTCATCGCGAAGGGTTTGGAGGCTTTCAGTTTCAGATAACCCCCTGACAACACAGATAGAGAACACTGAGCTGAGTCTGTAGCCCAGAAAGCAGCTGCTGCTATTTCACTAAATGGGAGCAGGTTGAATCAGAATAGTCTGGTGTGGCCTGTGGTGAGAGCTGGAGTACAAATGGAGGGCTGCACGCTCTGGGCAGAGCAGTCATTTGTCCAGGCTGTGCAGTAACATCATCACCCTGTGTGTTTTGATCCCTTTGGACAGGATCCGTGACATCCGGCTCTTCATAGTAGATGCTCGGCCAGCGATGGCTGCCACCAGCTTCGTCCTCATGACCACCTTCCCCAATAAAGAGCTGACTGATGAGAACCAGACCCTGAAGGAAGCCAACCTGCTCAACGCTGTCATCGTTCAGCGGTTGACATAAAGGACCCCAGCTCTGGCCACACAACCGCGGGGCCGTCTCCTCCCGCGCGTGTGCCGGTGCCGCGCCACGCAGGCCCACATCTGCTCCTAGCTCTGGGTTCTTAGGTCTTGGTTGGACTTTTTCTCTTTAGTTGCATTTCCCATGGGTTTTTTTTGTGATGATGATGATGATGATGATGATCAGTGGACTTTAAAATAAATAAACGAAACGAATTCGTTTGGAAAGGAGCTGCAGCCTCTTGTGCCCCAGATTCCCCCAGAAGAGTCCAGTTACCTTGTGGATTGAGTTACTGCACTCAGAGAGGGGAGGAGGGCAAGGGGGAAGGGAGCTCCAGGGAGCAGTTTCTGTCAGTGGACTGCTCACCACAGTCTTTTCTCTTCCCTGCAATGACTACTATAAAGTACTCCCTTTTTTCCCCCCACATTAAATATAAACTGTCTGAGAATGGGTGATCTGATTGTCAGGATAATGGTTAGACTCCTGTAAAAGCATTGTGGGGGAAGTCTTTGTGAAAGAGCTCCATGTGGGGAGAGGTGCAAGGTTTAACACTCCTGTGCTTTTCTGGAGAGAAATCCCTGACTTTCCTTCTCTCAGCAGAACTCTGGGTACTCATTGCAGTCCCCACCTGTTCTGCCTTTGCTTTTTATGACAGGCCAGACTGGCTACAGGTTTAAATTGCTGTACTGCATTTCTCTGAGAAACTCTGCTTCCGACTTCTTTCCAATAAGGCACAAAACTGAATCAGCTTGAAGTGACTGGAAGTAAAAGGCAAACAGAATCTGTCTTACTGGAAAGCAAGTTCTGTCCTGAGTGGTGAATTATTGAGATGATTGCAACAGCTTGGGTAGAAAAACTCAAGGCTGTAGTACCCTTTGATGTATTTCCTCTCCTCTGCTGAGGACTAACATAGCTGAACACCTGGAATTCTCCAGTGTTGATCTGTTCTGTTTGTGTTTTGGGCTCAGGTCTCCATCTCTTTCCCTCCTTTGAACAGAATCCTGTGGGTGAACTCCTAATGGCCAGACACGAGGCACTGGTAGTGCTGGCATAGCTGCCATGGAGTATTGTGCAACAGCACTTTGCACTGCCCCTCTGCTGCTTCTGTTTTTGTTCAGGGTTTCTGAGCAGAGCCCAGAGCTGTGCTGAGTCGTGGGCTGCAGCCACCGGCTCTGTGGGAACGGCGTCCTTTGGAAAGGCTGTACTGCTGCCCTGCCGAGGGCTGGAACGCTCCCTCCCTATTCTGCCTTAGGCACACCTGAGCCCCCTCAGCGCTTGGAAACTTCCAGGTCCTCCCTTTGGTGCAAGCAGAGGGAGCTCGGGAACAGCCTGGGGAGGGCCAGCAGGTTGGGCAGGTTCAGCGTGAGGAACTCGCTTGGCTGCCTATAGAACACAAACCAGAGAGCAGCCCTCAGCAAGGGCATTTTTACAGCAGTTTCTCAGCTGAGAGCTGAATTAACTCACATTTTTCATTACTAAATGGACATAAAGTGTGCATAACAACCAATTTGTAAATTGTTGTGAGAATTGCCATTAAAAGCCCACAAACAGGAAAACAGTGTTCGACCCTTTCTAATAACAGCTGCCATCTGGTCTCAGATTTTGGATCATGTTCACTGAGGGTGTCTCCTCTTTGGGCTGCTCTGTGAGCAGATTTCCTGTGCTGAGCTGTCTTCTACTCAATGAGATTCAGCCTCTCAGCAGCATTTCTAAAGATTATTTTTTGTGACAGGAGAGCTTGGGGTTCACCTGCCTGTGCATCACTTGGTGTATATTATAACCACTGAATAACCTGTGTGAACCAGTGCAGGAAGAGTTGAGAAAGGGAATTTCCCTCGGAGCTAAATAGAGTCACAACGGCCTTGTGGAGTTCTTGAATCCTGATCTTCACATGTGCCATTTTGGGGATTTGGAACAGCATCTTCCAGAGTGCTGGACAGGATGTGCCCCTAGACTCAGAAAGAAAGTTTATCTAACAGAAAGGGTGCAAGTTACTTGTCTCCTGTTTCTGCATTTGTTAGCAAGGAGCATCAGAGCACTGAGGTGGTGCCCAGCTGGTGGCCATGGTCTTTGCATGAATTGGCCACGTTGGTGCCCCCAAATTCAGTGACTGCTGACAGCCAGTCAGCAACTCCTCCAAGCTGCCGATCCCAAGGTTTTGCTGTGCAGATTCTGCTCACCGATGGGAACGTTCACATCCAGCTTTGCTGCCAGTTCTCTCCTTGCTGGTGGGCGGGAAAAGGGATAAACTCAGGGGCTCGGGTTTCTCTACTAGGAAGAGGGAATTTTCCCTGGAGCCGGAGGGTGGCAGTGCTGCAGAAAAGCCGCTGTCCCTCGAAGGCTTCTTTGAGAAGCTCTGCTGACGCCTGCTGGGAGCTGCACTTTGTGCTCCGGTGTGTTCGTGAGCACCTCTGGGACACCGCTGCCAGTTCCTCCTGCCTCTGATTCTCTCCTTGTTTTCTGTAAGTAATGAGCAGTACTTATCTCCTGGTGAGCACGTCAGCTCTGCCCCACTGCCCGAGGGGCACTGAGGTGGGATCTGTGACCAAGGTAGACCTGTCTGCTTCCAAACCTGACAAAAGAGCCCGTGGCACCAACTGGAAGTGACGTACATGCAATCTCCTATATTAAACTGTCTCCTGTGAGCTGGTGAAGTGTTTTGCTATAAAATAAAATAAAATAAAATAAAATAAAATAAAATAAAATAAAATAAGCTATAAAGCAAAAATGATCAGCTAATTAACGAGAAGGGGTAATACACCAGAACAGTAAAAAAAGAGAGAAGGAAAGAGACACCGTGATTTTGTAAAGAAAATCACCGTGTCACTTGCACAGTCGCATTCCTGGAAGAGTTCAAGGTCAGGTTGGACAGGGCTTGGAGCAACCTGAACTAGTGGAAAGTGTCCCTGCCTGTGGCAGGGGTTGGAAAAATATGAGCTTTAACATCCCTTCCAACCCAAACCACTCCTTGATTCCGTGATTCCATTTGATTGTGTGCCACTGCAGTAGACAAATCCTTATTTCTGACACGTAGCTTTTGATTATTAGTGAGTTTAACTTCCTCTCTGTGAAATCTCTTACCTGTAGCATTCCATTTCTGTGTTCTAACAAAGTCATAGGCCAAGATTGGGTTTTTCTAAAACTGGTATTTATGGTCACAAAGAAAGTCTTTTTTCCTCCTTTGCCTGAGAAGTGTTTCCCTGCAAAATTTTTCTTTTTTTTTCATTGATCATTCTCCCACAGGGAGGTCATGCCTGTACTCTTGGCTTTTCACACTCCATCTTAAGGCAGTGCTCCATATCTCACACGAAAACTCAACTTCTTTTCAATTTCTGGGTTGGATACAGCTCAGTTTCAGGACTGTGCTGTTTTATCTGGAGCCGATGTTTATCACCGTATCCAACTGTTTTCTCCAAATGCTTCATTTTAACAGTTTTCCTCGGTTGGGTAACTGTAGGACTTCCTGGGATTTTTTCTTTTGTATGCAGTTCTTTGTTTCCTCTTCTTTCCTTTCACATATCCTCGTTGCTAAGGTTTAGTTCCTGTGTTTTCTGATAGCATTTCACACAATTTCCTGGGAACTTTGCCTCCCCCTCTGTAATGCTTCTTTTGCTATGGGATGTTTCCTGATCTGCATTTTCTTACATGCTCAGTGCTCTGCTTACCTCAGGAGGTTCTGCTGTCCCAAGGCCATGCAGTTTTTCAGTGATCCTGGTGTAGGAACACCCATTTCTAGGTGTAGCTGTACCTTCAGCTTCCTGTTCAGGTAAAACAAATTAACAGCGCAAAGTAGCAAGTTTTGATTGGCTTGTTTTGGCCCCAAACTCGACTAGCTCAGCTGGCAGATAAATGAAAGCAGCATAAAAGATATGGAGAAAGAAATCTCAGTGGGCACAGCAGCACTATTAGAGGATGACTGGAAATTTAGGCTCTTTTTTTTTTTTTCCTTGTTGCTTTTTGTTATAATCGGTTATATTCAATTTAGGCTTCGCTTCTCATTGTTGGACAACCCTACATCCTTCCAGAAGGAAAAAAGTGACCTCCTACTTCTTGGGTAGGTCTTCAGCTCCCTGTGTCTTGACTTGGGGGAGTGATTAAAAGGATATCAGTTTGCTCCTGGGACGTTATCTGGAAGTTCAGTCAGGAGGTTTTCTTTTGAAAGCAGCACTGCTTTACAGATCCTTTGTTACCAAGAAAAAAGACCCTGAATTGATGTTTCTTCTGATTCTGTAGTTAGACTGGAAAATGTGCTCAGGGGATTGATGTCACAGTCACATAAAACAAGATGCTGTGGGGTTTTTCAAAGCCTAGCACTGTGAGGGGAGGAGCTGTGTTAATCCTTGGGCAGGAGCTGCAGTCTGTGCAGGAGTTTGCTCTTCAAGGTACCTGTGTGAAGTATTGCTGGGTTGTGAAAGCAAGAGAGGGCCAGCCCCTACTGCTTCTGAATAGCCTTGCTGGTGAACCAGATGGAGACTGGTGCTCATAAATGAGAGATTTAATTAAGCAGTGAAGTTGCTTTTCTTACCAAGTTGTGAGTTTCCATTGGTGCTTGTGTGGTAAATGTGGCATCCTCCAAGGCAGGGTGTCTGTCTGACAGCCACTCCAGGCAGGACTGGGAGCTGGAGCCCACATTTCTCGGCTGTGCCTGCTGCCAGTAGTGCTTTCCTGGCATCCCAGCTGCATCCCCATGAAAGAAAAGCCTGACAGCTCCTCTCATGCTGGGAGACTCAGACCAGACTTCTCCAAGCTCTGTGTTCTGTAGCTGTCCTGCAGACACAGGTACACAAACACTCACATCACTGCTCTGCCTGGTGTGAGGACAACCAGCCATGGCCCACAGTCACTGAATCCTGCAGAGCTGTGTCTCCTCACCCACATCCTTGTGAACAAGGTACCACTGCCCTGCCAGCGTTATGGTGTGCTTTGGGCAATTCATTTTGCCTCAGGAAGGAAAAAAGACTAAAGTTATTTGATGTCTGCTGAGAGTTCAGCTGCAAGTCTCCTCCTCGCTCAGGTAAGTGGTGCATGTGCTGCACCACATGGCATGACCACACATGGCTGGCATAATGGCCCTGGGAACTGGTGGAATGTGTCACTGCAGATCACTTGGGGACTTCCATGGGTTCCAGAGTGCTGAGAGGGCTCCTAGGGCAGCACTGATGGGTAGTTAATCAAACACACACAGTCCAACCAAGAGAGCAGCTCACTGCAGGTGCAGGCCAGGTGATGGGGCTGCCAGAATCCTGCAGGATTCCACAGAAATGGGGGGGCGAAATCCTTTCTAGTTACTTGTGAGCAGTTTTTCCAAATGAGTCCCGTGTTTCCCAATTACACAGGTCTACAGAGAGTAGTACAATACTAATGATGCCACAGGCCCCCATCTTTGGCAGTTGAACAGCTCCAGTGTCAAGCACCTCTCGATTTACTTATTTATCATTTTGTGATTTATTTACAACATTCCTAAATGCTTATCTTATTTAGAGTTCTGTCTTGTCTGTACTGAGCCTGTCAGTTCCAGCCCTGGGAGTTCCTGAATAGATTCCAGATGTTCTTATTTACTCAGGTACATTTCATGACTCCTCCTTAAATTAACTCTTTAATGGCTTGTGGGGCCTATGGTGGCAACAGGTTCTCTCCTGCCTCATCCATCTTGGTGGCTCTTAAGTCCTGGCTCCTTCACCAAGAGAAGGCAGCTGTGCTAAGGGGAACCCAAGAGCCTTTGGCCATGCCTAGTGAAGGAGAGGTAAACATTTGGAGGACTTGTTGGTGGAACACATCCAAATGTTGCCACTTGCTG